AACATAGTTACACAAATGACTGACCTAAAACAATGGATGCAGCAAGACGTGACTATTGGTAAGAATGAGTCTTGAACTGAAAGCAAAATTCATCTGATATACTTGAATTGTGATATATATATATATCAAGAGTTAATAATACCTAAATATTACCTAATATGCTAAAGGTATCATTAGCTTTTGATATATATATATATATTATATACAAACTTATTCTGTTTCATTTCATGTAACTTTTTACGTTTCTAGGGTTGGCTGCCTTGAGTTCCCAGACAACACCTACGGTAGCTGACGCTGAACTAGATAGCAAAGAAGTGCTGGACCTGCCGAAGCAGTGTGATGTGTTTGATTTTGTAGACTCGCCACCTGGCAAGGCATCTCGGCGTCGAATCCGCAAACCTTCAGAGGTGCTAAAGAAACGACGAGTTCTGGTTGCCAGCAACAAGCGATGGGGGTTCGACCACAGGGACTCGTGCGAGGAGGACGACGTGGGTGTTGCAGAGAAGCCTTGCTCCAGCTGCAAAAAGAAGACGCCCCGCAGACAGGTGACGTTTGGGACTGCCGATGCCGCGAGACCTCTCTTCAGCGATAGTCGTCAACTTGATTCTTCCACCATGCATGCCTCACCCCAGGAGGTGGTCAGAAAGAAGTCGCCTGACGGTGCGGCGCCATTAAAACGCATCGTCGGCTGCAAGGAAAATAAAGCAGTAAATTCGGCCGTTGGCGATGTTGAAAAAATCCACGCCGACAATCTTTTTGCGACTCCGGGCATCAATTGTAACGATGGCAGACTTCCGGGACGGCGCCATCCAACGAAACGCACCAGCGTCGTTGCTGCGACAGTGCCATCTCTCTCGAGCGAACACGCCGGTGACCGGTGCTCGGTGAAGCAGGCCAATGCTGTGTCTAACACGAATCGACTCACTAGCTTGAAGACTGAGGCCTCAGTGAGACGGTCTTCGCCTAAGGCTGCTCTGCAACATGCAGTAATGGCGGCGGCAATAAACTTGGCAACTGAACAGCCAGGCATTAGCGGTGTGGAGAGCTGTGCTACTTCGCTGCACACTCGTGTGAGAAATCCCTCGAGGCGGTCTCACCCTGAGGTTAAAAGGTCTGAAAATATCTCACGTGCATCTCTTGGCACCAGTACTGAAGCCACGAGGGATCGGTCCACAGCATCACTAGTGAAGACTGTTAAGCGAAATGCTAAAGGAGAAACGCGCCTGCATACTGCTGCGATTAAGGTATCTACGTAGTAAAATAGTGCAATAGGATTCAGCAAATCGATCTCAAATTGTTCACTATAAAAAAAAAAACATCTGGAATGTGAGTGGACAGTTTATCATTCATTGATGATAAGTTCTGCGCATCACATTTACACAGGTAACAGCCTAATCTATACATTCTTCACGTGATTTTAAACTCAGGTTTCCAACTATTTTTATATTCTTTCACAAGATGTTATAATCAATGGGTGTGTATTATTTTTATACCAGGGTGATGTTAAGGAAGTAAAGGCTCTTCTGGCAGAAGGAATGGATCCGAACGTCAAAGACAATGCTGGATGGACACCATTGGTAGGACACACATAGATATTTTCTCACAATTAGTGTGCACACTTGCGAATAAATTACGGGTTTAAGGATGGTATGACTGCTATTTTAATTCCTTGCTACGCATGTTACGTCATGACATACCACGTGGTGCACTCGTTCACTGTGCGCTTGCTGCTGCAGCACGAGGCATGCAATCGTGGCCACGTCGCCGCCGTCACCGCACTGCTGGATGGTGGAGCTGAGGTGAGAGCCGTGGCCGGCGCAGACGACAACACGGCGCTGCACGACGCCACGATGAACGGACACGTCAACGTCGTCACGTTGCTCCTGGCACGCGGCGCGTCGCCGCGGATACGGTAACGTCTGCCTGCATCGTACGCACATTCGTTCACCGAGGCTGTTCATTTAGTGTGAGGCTTTGTGGCGCTGGTGGAAACATAACTGTAGCTAGACAGAGTGCACTCACGGAGTGCATACCTCCGCCAGCGACATACGCCATACGACTCACGAACACACGAATAACACACAATATACACCAGCGTACTGACATGTACACGCTCCCATGTAACATGTATGTCTTACGAGCTGGCTCGCTGTTGACTGCTGCTGACTGCTGCTGGAGCTGGCTGTGGCTGTGGCTGGCTGGCTTGACTCGACGCGCTAATATCGATCGTGCGAACACACAAACACCCGAGAGCGAAAACATAACCTCCTCCAACTCCGTTGGACGGAGGTAATTATGTAAAGATTCTCTATGATTTTGTTTGCGTTAGTATGTGAGGCTCAATCAGTCTTATTATTTTATGGACTGTGTAAATGTATACAACTATTTTTGTTTCCCTGATTAGGTTTCACACCTTTTAAATGCAATATTTTAAATTGACTTGAATTTTTCATTTTTTGTTTTATTATACATCTGAAGTTGGCATTATTGCGTTTTGCAGCAACATGCGGGGATTGGCTCCAGCAGACTACGCTGTTACTGAAGTCATGAAGAAGGCATTTGAAAGTGCACTTACTACGTATATCCCCGATCCTGGTATTGATCGGCCGGATACTGAGATGCCAGTGGTAGAGAAAATCATGTTGCTAGGAATAGGGTTGAAGCCACAACAGAAGCAGCTTTTGCAGAGATGTGCAGAACTTCTAGATGGTACAGTAGCAACCCAATTCACAAAGGAAGGTCAGTAAGATATTAATGTGCCTTAAAAATCAAGCATGCAATATGATTAACGTTAAATAAAAATTGTGGTAGTATGAAAGCTCAATCAAGTTTTGTTGATGTCTCAGCTAGACATTTTTGTTGTCGGATAAACGTTAATTTTTGCTATATTTTTTGCAGTGACTCACGTTGTCATGTGCAACAATAAATGGGGCATAAATGGAGTAATCCTAGAACAGGCAACTGCAGCAGGAAAGTGGATTGTCAGCTTTGAATGTAGGCATCCCAACTAACCAACAAATTTAATCCCTAGTCTATGTGACCCCCTCCCTGCACTGAAACAATCCCACAAAGTATGACTAAGCCCAATGATAATATCTTGGTTGTGGTAGCGACTGATGTATCATATGTGTAGTTCTCTTGTTCAAAACTAATTTGCTCATATAATCCTTTTTTTTAAACAATATTGGTCAGATATGTGTCAGTCATAAATTTAGTAGCATAAGTGTATAAACATGATTCATTGATAATGTAATTTGTACCTAATTACAACACTCGTTTTTCCAGGGGTGGAGAACTGCATCGTATACGACAAGAAAGTGATTGAAGAGGCATTTATGGTGCAGTGAGGGTTTGTCAAACTCGGTGTATAGATGCACAGGCAGGTATGAATGTATGCAGACACACACACATGCGCACACACAACACAAACAGGTTTATTCTAAACGAGTGGTGTTATAACTAAAAGTAGGACCAGTCAAAGAAATAGAAATTTGGTAAACAGCTATTGCCATCTAGACTACCAGCTAATATCTGGACACAGCAACGAGTCATTGATGAACGTGTTCTAATGAAAACCCAACTACATATTTCTAATTCTGACATATGTTTATTGTATAGATATAGAACTTTGACCATAGAGGTATAGAACTTTTAGAACATTGATATAAAACTTTGATATTTTAATAACAATAATCAGAACCATCAGTTAAACAGCATAACGAGAGGACACTCGATTAATAAATGATCAAGCTGTCATAGTAGAACGTCATCGCTAGCTGATATACAATGTATTCTGAGTTTTTTGCCTTCATTTTGCCTTGCATTTCAATATTCTACTATTGTAGATGATTAGTCATTATTTTCTAGTTCTGTTGTATTCCGTCACAACCATGTTGTTACATGCTCGTGATAATGATAGATTCTAGCAAGAATGTACTCAGTGACAGACATAGTTTTGTATTACTGCTACACCTGGGTTCTTGCATAGGCCTTTCTTTAGTGATAACCGTCCCATTTATACTGATCATATCATCATTTAACAAACAACACATAGTAAACATTGCATTCATGGCGAGCGACACATTTCTTGCAGTTTCACAGTTCATGGCCTGGGTCAGGTTTGGTGGTCACAGAAAAACAGGAATCGATTTATTAATTGGCACCAACTTCTTGCGTGTTTATATGCTTAGCTGAATGCATGTTGTTTCTGATCTAATGCTCAATGATCGTAGCAAAGTACACTATCCGTATACATGTAATGTTGAAAATAAATACATTTTTGGCATAAGGAAACATATTTTTCACACGTTTTGAATGTGGACAGGCCATTTAGTGGTGCCCTACTTATATTTATGCTTCACATATAGGACTCATGAGGAATGATTTCACTTATATAGATTATATTAGATTAGATTATTTATTATTATCATATATTATTTGTGGTTATGTACAATGCATGCAAATAATTGTGTTAACACGACACTCTTCAAGTGTTTTATAGTAAATTAACAAACTTGGATAAATTTAGAAGGCAGGCACACACTGTCAACGATTGAGTAGACTTGCAAACAACAATTTCATTAGAATTTAAATAGACAATAATCCAGGTCTTATAACCAAACAAACGTACTTTCGTTTGGTACGTACTTGCTGATATGTAATATGATAAGCAAGTATACCTTTCATTTCATGCATCCTAACACTATATTACCATGCAACACTACTTCTTACAATGATATTACACTTTCAGCTTGGCCATTGTGTGTCTAATTTGCCAACTAATATATTCTACTTTGTCCATCAGACACTTGTTCACGTTCTTTAATGCTTCAGACGTCAGTCACTCCGAACACGTAACAACATTACCCCTTGTAGATTTATCTATATTTCTGATATTCACGATATTTGCAGTTTATGGGGGCAAAATATGAACGATTTTTTGATAGAGCAAAATAAAAGGCTCTATTTGTAGAATATAGTTTCCTTGTCCAGCAATATGGAAGGACGAGATGTTTGGGGTCATTTCTTTATACAGAAAATGGAATACCCTTTTTGCCTGGTACCCGCACGTAGGCATCAGGTGAATCGATATAAGTGATTATGTTTTACGTATAATTAAGTCATTGCAATTACATCTATATACCCGCACACGCAGAGAACATGAATATTCGTAAAATTTTCCTATATACTTCACAATTAACTAAATAACTAAGTAGATATATGCCAAATAAATAAATTAAGTAAATAAAAATAGTGTTTTATCTCATTCTCAATTATTTCTTAACGACTCGCAACCTATATTTTGGACAAAATTGAAGAACATGGCAGCAATGGCATGCGATATGGTAGACTGTATAATGCGGTTGGTAATATCAGATTTCTGTCCTTCACTATCCTAAAATTGGTTTTTCATCGTCTGCACGTACTGAAGTACAATTCTACGTCTATGAAATGTTCGTGCATTTCAGAGCCTAGCTATTGCAAGCGCAAGCATATTTAATGTATGTGACACCAAGCAAAATAGAGCAGTTGACCAGGAACTGCACGATTAATTTATACGCGTTGTAAACGTAACATGCCATAGTCGTTTCTCTGCTCGCGTAAACATGGTTTTCCCACATAGTAAAGCTAGCTGTCCACCCGTTGCATGACTCACCATCACGTACGACCACCAAGGAAAACACGAGATTATTGCACAGAATATCGCATACGATGTACGTGCGTACGTTTACATGCATCTTGTGTATATATATATATATATATATATATATATATATCTATAACCATAACCTTAACACTAACCCTAAACCTTATCCTAACCCTAATCTTAACTCTAACACTAAACCTAACGCCAAAAAGGGGCTTCAACGACCGACGGCTACCGTACCTCCAGCCACTGCGTACTTTTTACTTGCGAACGAAGTAATCGGCGTCCTTCTCAAAATCATCAGTAGTCGGTACCTACATTACGATATTACATGGCCCGCTTTTTTATTTCATTTGAGTACTACGCATGCATGAAAACTTTATATATTATAAATGTACACCATTGCCTGGAAAGACGGTGAGATTGCTCGCTAGCTAATAGTACTAGTAGTAATAACTAATATTTATTGATCATGATCAGTACAATATCATGAATTCATATGCATACAGGGTTCTCCCTACGTTGCGCAAACGGGGCGCGCGCGCCCCGTTTGGGGAAACTCCCCCCTGTTTCAATCGTCCCGCCCCGTTTAAATTACCTCCGCCCCGATTAAATTCCACCACAATAAAAGTTTGCCAGCGCGGGAATCGATCGTCAAGAATTCCCATTCGGCCAGGACAACCAGCGTGTATATTTTTACTGCACTGCAGACAATACACAAGTACAAACAGCTAACCTGTCCCACTGTCCCACACACAACACTAACTGTACACCGACTCGGCTATCTTATATATACAAGAACCCCAAATACCGTCTATGGTGTGGTGGCGATTTTACGAATTAATTAGTGGTACGGTAAAAAAAAAACACCCCCTGGACCCCGCTAGTTTTTACCTAAGTAAGGCTATGTGCATGCATATTGCGATTTAGCACTGGATCTGGCTCGCGTGTTGCATACAGACACAGCTTGGTGCGGGATAACTTATCCCGGGCCTGGCCCTCCTTCATTTGCAGGGCCAAATTGGTGCGGGCAGAGCGTATTTGGAGCGGATAGCGTGTACACACTGCAAAAATGTGGCGCGCGCCTGACCCGCACCAGTTTAATACCATATCAAATTTGCAGTCTGTACGTGGTATATTAGATGATTCAGATTCAGAGATCCGGAGAACCATCATCATCAACATTTCCACCATCATTAACATCATCATTATTATTATTATTATTCAGCACCCTAACCTAGTCTGAAGATGCTTTCAAAAGGTCACCAAGTAAAAATGACAAACATTGTTTCAAGATTGTTTGTAACTTGTATATTGTTGTACTTGGTGCTTAGTTATAATGACCTTTTCAGGTTTAAGGATCTCATGATCAGGTTAGGTTGCTGAATAATAATAATAATAATA